CAGTGACGTCACTGATGACGTCATCAGCATCGTCACGTGACCCCCCAAGGTCACGTGAACCACCCCCCAGTACCCTTCCCTCCTCCTCCTCAAGAGCTGCGCTCAAATTCGTCATTACAGGGAGTTGTAAACGGCTTTCACTTTTTTGCTTTCTTGAATAAAGTGATTATGGCAGCAGCGTTGTTGTCAAACTTATCATTGTACCTTTTTTGGTGAGTAAAGCAACAGCAAGTCAACAGGTGGTCTGGTAACGCATTACAACAAAACGTGGTGTCCCGCCAGAACACCAGATTTCTGGTGTAACATCAAGTCACACCAGCCCTCGAGCTGGTGTATTTTTCACTAGGGAATCGATGGAAATAATTTTCAAACTGAAATACACTCAAGTTATCAAGGCTATAAAAATTTTTTACGCCCCCTTCTACATGCAGAAGACCATGCACGTTATAAGAATACTGCTCTCTGCCTCAAAGATACCCGAACATATTCACAAAGTGGCTCAAAAGAGCTCCGGCATACTTCCGAAACTTAGGTGCCGCACAAGTCTCCACTCCAACGAGGAGTCGAATAGCCACGTGAAGGTGAATGAAGTGACTGTAACACTTCTTGTCTAGTTTGTTATGAAGAGCGATGGGGCCAGTGTAAAGCAGGAATGGGCGAAACTCTGTCGCCTTCCACCTGTCATTATCGTCTAAGCTTCGTGGTTTCCGAGCAAATTCACATGGAATGTGGGCCGCAAAACTTTCAAGCACGGCAGAAATATGCTTTGTCGCAGACCGTGTTATTTTGCAAGGAAGACGCCCCTTTAGCCACAAAATAATTAGTTTTCTGGTTACCTCAAGGCATATCAGGTGCATATACTCAAAGGGAAACTGCTTTACCAATTCTAATGGCAGCATCACCAAAGGCGTGTCGTTAGTATTATGTTCTTTATCTGTCTTCTCCGGGAATGCTTTGTCCGTTCTCGGTCGATGAGCCCCACCAAGAAGGCTGAGCCGTCCATTGACGTACTCTCCTTTGACCTGGCATTTTCCGCAGGACGAGTAGCCATTGTGGCCTTTAATACCGAACAAGAAAGCCCTTGCCGCAGCGTCACACGCAAACGCCTTAATAGAAAAAAGTATACTGTCTTCCACCGTGTGGAACACCGTCTTTGATTATTTCAGATACCTCATCAATGAACTGAGACAAATATTCGCTTGCGCTGTGTGGTTTCGAAGTGCCATTAGGGATGCATCAATAAAAGGAACACAATTTGTTATGTGAGCCATACTGCACATAATAGGCCAGAACTGGCTTGTAGAGCTGGAGGTCATTGTCACACCATCCACATCAAATTGAATTGGAGATGATCAGGTAGATGATCGGACTCATTCACAGAGAGGGCGTAAAAAATGCAATCACGTAAGCCATAATGGCGTACACACCACCGGAAATTAATCTTATGAGGGTTGTGCGAGGCCATGAGCACCGTGTTCTCGCGTCTTTTGGCAGTCCAGAGAGAGATGGTACTTTACAGAGCGTTCGGAGAAGAGCTGATGTAACATCCAATGGTATTTTGTAATGAGACGACCAAGGTGATAACTCAGGCGCCAGAAATGCAAGCTGGTCATCTTCGCCAGTTACTGGAATAGGCGGATCGCAACCCTCTGTGATTCTCGGAGATTCTGGGGTAAGATTTTCAGGACTGCTTCAATCTGGTGAATATGCCCAAATATAATTTCGAGTTGAAACATTAGTTTCATCTTTGTCATGAATATCTTTATCCGACAACAGCCCACCTCGTGGTTCTAATTGGCTTAACGGAACGCTAGTTTGAATAGTCGTATGAAGAAGACTTGCTAACTCTGATTCTATCCACCGGCATTTTTGTCGCTCACCAACATCATCATACGACGGCTTCGAACGAGAAGCCTTCGAAAGCATTCAATAATCGTGTCGAAGGTACTCACGGAGAAGTATTGGTTGCTGTCTTAAGTATGAAGCCTTACCGCTTCTTTTTCCTAAAAAGCTTTCCGGACCAGGCCCTATTCGGTCCGAATATATAGTAAAAGTTTACAGATAGAAATCAAAAGAAGAGGACGGGATTGCCACAAAGAGAGATTGTCTCTATGCTCCGTTCACCCCTAAGCTAAAACTGCAGGGGAAGCTACGTCCTCGTTGGAACAGTCACATGCCTCTCTTTCGCCACGTCATCCCGGCCATGCCCACGCGCGGAGAGCCGGGCCAGGTGATATGAGGGAGGCGGCTGATGGGTCCGGCGAGCACGTAGCTCCCAACTAGTCTCAGCTTAAGTTTGAACTAAGTAAGCGCTGATTGGCAGGGTTTTCCTTTCAGATACAGCGTTTTAACAAGCTGAAGACAGGTGCGGCATACGTATTTTAGACGTCATCGGTTCGATGCCGCTATTGTGTAAAAAAGGCTTTATTAATAAATTTTTGTTGCCGTATTACCTAGAAGGCGAACGTCGGCGGAAAGCTCAAGTGCTTGTCGTTATCGATCAACCAATGCATCCTGTGTTACCAGTGCCTTTACCACGATAGCCTGAGAAAGGGATGCATATTTTGAATAGCATATTTATTAGTCTTGAAAAAAAAAGACCCCTTTCGAAATACTGCCCTATGTTCGCAGCTCTGGAATCCTTGCACAATGTCGGACTTAAACCGTAACGTCACGCCACACTTTATGCGTTTGGTTGGAGTGGAAGAAAAAAAGACACCACAAGCACGGACGCGCGGGCGTAGCACCGCGCTAAGCTTACACACGCAGCATACAACCGGAGTGTAAACGTATATATGTCCATTCACTGAACACTGTTTTCTCCGAGCGCATGTGCAATCATGTAGGCAAAACAAAATGGGGAACAACAATAGTAAAAAACACAAAAAAAAACTTGTGTTTTTGGCAAACGAGAAGACGCCGACTTCGGGAAACCCCGCGTGACAGCGTTGGTTTTTTGTTTGTTTGTTTTTTTACGGCGGCGTCGATGTCGACTGAGACGCGCGTTTTCTTCGCTGTGTGAAGGAGGGGCAGGGAGGAAAAAGAAGGGGGAAGGGAGGAAAGGGAATTATGTAGTACGTGGGTCATTTGATATGATGTAGCGGGAAAACTGAATTTTCGTGTAAGTCGCGGGACATCTGGTCACGTAGCCTGAATTCTCCCCGCTAATTAGAACGGGAAAACTGTTGTCGCGTTTAGTTCACGTGCAGCTAATTTTTTCGCCTTTAAGGTCACGAGTGAAGTTTCTCGCAAACGTCAGCGGGGAAACTGAATTTAGGTCACGAGGCATCAATTTCCCAAATGGATGTATAGGGCGAGCAACGGTACGTCACGCGAGGTCAATTTTGCCGCTAAATTTAGCGGAGATTGCATGGACGCTCGGAGAGCAAAAGACCAACTATTTGGATAGGACGTTCCGTTAAGTATTTCCTGCTTTAAGAATGCGGTATCAATCTACTTTTATGCGGGATGCGAAATTTTCTACACGAAAGGTTTTGCTGGCGTAAAGAGAAACACCCCGTAACACAATTACATGCCTTTAGCTGGTTATGTCCCAGATTAAGCTGGTATATTATTTACTCCACAAGAAAGGAAACCTACTAATTTTGTTTCAGATAGCTAGACCGTATCAAAAATCGGTAGTAGGCAATAATCTGTTTTCTCTGGAAGTTCTTTGATTTCTTCTGAATTATTGCTGCATTTGGTTTCGCGAAAATTTATTTACATATGTGTTCTGAGTCCTGGCATCTTAAATACAAAAAAAGAAGGACTTTAATGTGAACGGCGTTGTAGCCTTTAAATATTTCCTCTTAAAAGCCCGAATCTATTTTTTTACTGGTAAATACGACAGAAAGAATCTATGTTACGCACTCTCAGATTCCGTGTTTTGAGACGTTGCAACCAGGGATGGCACGAGCTTGTCTAGTAGAGAGATTAATGAATCGGTCAGTTAGTAAATCTTTAAGTTCTATAAATAATTATCGAATGAATCAATTCATCACTTAAGTTTATTCAAAATAAACCAGGTTCGACGTTCCTCAAGTTTAATGAAAAGTTCCGCGAAACTTTCGAGTCCGGTTAGACCACTATGCACATGCATGGAAATTGAAAACGAGCTCACGCCACCTGGCGGCAAAAGTCGTGGTATATATACTAGGTGTATGGTCTTTCTCAATCACAATAATACGCCAGTTAAACCATTCAAGCACATATTTTGACTTTATATTTTGTAAACATTGGCAATCGTCCAAATAAGCATGGTAAGAACTTGCGGGCATTCCCAGTGCGACGCCCCGAGCTCCTGTCTTAGGCAACGTTAAGAATATTGACTGGGAAAAAGACCAGTCTCCACTGTATTACTAGACGCTTGGAAATAAATAAATGCGCCGAAAGAGGCCTTAGTCAGAAATCTTTCTACCGACACCATATTGAAAGAGGCTTTCTTAGTAGGCCCTGATTGCGGAGTCATGTAATCGACATTTCCTTTCCTTTTCGTTCTTGGTTTTGTATATATATATATATATATATATATATCTTGCCCAATTTTTCGGCAGTTTTCTTTCCCTTTCCCTAACTTTAATGCAATAAATTCAATAATCACCCTCTACCCCTCTTCGTTCACAATATTACTACGGCTGTACTCATCAATCTTCACTCATTCCCATTGTATATTTACCTGTTTCTTTCTTTGGGGGGTGGGTGCTGCTGGGCTTGTTTTCCGATAAAGGATGTCGTCGTCAGTCAGCGCTTTACCTGTGTGAGTTTATTCTGTCTAGGTTCTTTTTGTGCGCGGTTCTGTTTTCATCAGCCCCAAACTACTCCTTGGAGTAAAGCGCTGGCGACCCCTATTCAAAACATCTCTACCTCGTTTTGTTACGTCTGTGTTGCAACGAGCCCGTTTAATTATTTCGCCCAGGTGTTTCCTCTCAAGGACGAGTGGTACGTGACTTACAGGAACTACGAGGATGATCCAGTATTTGGTTCAAACAAATGCTTGAAAGCTACGCAGGAATCCCCAGGAACGGAGGACGGCCACCCAGTCGTCCTCAGCTACAAGGGCTTAGAGGAACGCAAGTAGGCCCAACTTCCTTTAGGGGAAGAGAGGTTGATGTTTCTTTTCCCTATTAAACTGTCATACGCCGAGCTGCGCTTTATAGAGACCGCAGTGGAGACGCCTATACTCGGCGACAACTTTCTTGGCAATGGAGTGGAGGGTACAGGTACGTGTTTTCTATCCAATTTTGAGCGCTGGATAAGGCTGTGCGTGGGCTATCGTCAACTTCCTCTGCATTGCCAAGAAAAGTTGTCGCCGAGTATAGTATCGGCTTTCCTTGCATGCGACGCCATATCCTCCTTGCCTAGGGTTTTTTGTTTTGTTTTGTTTTTTTCTCTCACGAAACACACATACGCGTACAAAGATATGTGCAGATTGAGTCGAGGGAGAGGTAAGTGTTGTGCGGTGCTGTTGTTATTGAAACGTATTTTATTTCTTTCCACACCTGACCTCATTTGCCTCGCAGGTCTGAGCGAGAGGGAGAAAGAGGGAGGAGAGGAATGCTTTGACGGCTGAATACAATTGCTTTGAGTCACTAACCACGGTGGTTCTTTGTTTGTTCCATTCAGAGAACGTGGTTGGTCGGAGTTTTAGTGGCAGTACCGAAAGCACTTCACCGCTTTCCCACCATACTCCGGAGCTGTACCACACTAATGGCGCGTTCACACTGGAAGCGGATCCGCGTTCGCGAAGCGGATCTGCGCGTTCTCAACCGCAAAGCGGCTAGGATCGAGCGGTTGGAGCGCGTTTTTGCCAACCGCTTCGGGACCGATTTCTCTCAACCGCTTTCACGAACCGCAAAGCGGCAACCAATCACTACGCGACGCTGACGTGACGTCAGCGACTTTCAAAACAAGATGGCACCTGCCGCTGGTGAGGCATCCAAGGCGCTGTAGTCCTAGCGCTGTAGCCTTAGCTTTCGACAAATCAACGGAGAAACTTGATGTTCACGTCCGTCACTTGAATCCGCCGTGAAAAGAATTGACTCGTAATTTTAACGGGCTTCGCACCGGTGATTTGGTTCGGGTAAGAGTTTGTTTATTATTCCGGGTGCCGCAGCCCAAGCTCGCTGCCTTGTTAATTTCTGCCTGTAGCCCGCCCCTGATCGACCGAAATGTCAGCTTTTCTACCGAATAAGATAGTCGCGTCAACTATTGAAAGCTTTCGACACCGTGCATGATCACCACGAAGGCCGATAGAGACGTTGTGAGCTTGATTCCGTAGCCAACGCACTACCGCGGAGGGGGCAGGGTACCTGCGCTAGCTCGACCTGTAACGTTTACTACTAATAAAATAAATAAAGGGAACCTACTCAAGGAATAAAGTGTACGTACCAGACACTGCAGAGGTAATCCATACGCCGTTTATTTGAGCTTAATGTCAAACAAACAGTAGACTCGATCGACGTGCGAGTGACGAGAGGAGAGTCCGCCACCAACGAAGCCACGACCGGCTAGCACCGAACACATTCCCCCGCACCACGGTCCACCCCACCGCCCACAACTTCGAAAATGATAAGAGCGAACAACAACGAGGGGGAAAACTGACCGTCTATCCCGAAAACAAGGTCAGCTATTCATGCGGGAAGGGTCCACTTCGAAGAAAAGGTCGGGGGCATCCTGTTCTGAGTCAGCAAGGCGCGTCTAGCTGTGCTTTGCTTGTGGGTGAAGTCGACGAAATTACAAGCGAGTTTGGCGGGTCCATGCTTTTTTCTTCGCTGCCTGAACTCGTGATGCGTGCTAACATCCCGGAGAAAATATTCCGAGTGCCAAAATAGCAAAAGTTTGGCTTTGGATCTTGAATTAAAGTGGATTTTGGATTGTAAAACAGGGTTGCCAGAGGCAAGTCTCAAAAGATCACGCGTGATCGCCGAGAAACCGCCAACCGCCTCTCGGTGTGTCTGAACGGGGTCGCTCGCGAACCGCATCCGCGACCGCTTCGCGAACGCGGATCCGCTTCCTGTGTGAATGAGCCTTAAGTGAGAGCATGTCGCCGGGATTGTCTGGGCTGGTTGACTTCTAGAAGCGGGCTCGGCAAACAGGAGTCATTACGGTCTTTGGTTGTAGCCGTCTGCCACCCGCTCCCAAAGGAACCTGATGAGGGTCCCCCGGCAGAAGTGCAGAAAGCCGGGCTCTCGAGACAGTCGCTCCTCTTACTTAGTCTAGAGGATGTCGATATCTTGTTATTGATAGACGGAACGACGCCTGTCGAAGGCAAATTAACCGCGTGTAGCTTCGCCCTCGCGGCGTCTGTCGCCTGCTCGTTTTCCGGAACGTTGATGTGGCTGGGAATCCACGCGATCGTTATAAATGAAATAGCGTTTAGGAGCTCGTGTCGCAGAAAAACCGGCGTCGGCATCGGCGTCGGTGTCGGCGAGGCGGGAAACTTCTGATTGGATCCTAACGTCACAACATCACGACCTCGCGCGGGGAGTTTCAAACAACCCACGACGCTCACATGAAACGTAAAGTCACGCCTGGGATGAAAATGATTGAAGGATTACATGTGTTTGCAGATTTGTGTTTGTCCTTTGTCCCCCTTCTCCACGAATTATTTTCGTCGTTCTTTTCCAGCTCGCTCGCACCTTTGCATTTAATTGCATCATCACCATGGCATATAAAGCGAATTAAAGGTCACCGTATGTCTTCAATGATTTCGATTTATAAAGTAATTAATTTGCCTCAAAGAAAAGAAATCTAAAAGTTTAATGTGGAGGCGGGATTCCAACCCACGACCCTCCGGTGGCGCGCCAGCCACGCCACAGGTTACGCTTGCAGCGCTAGGGAACGAGCGGAGCTAAGCGTCCAACTGTAAATTTTTTCTTTCTGTTGTGCTTTCTGGATGGGGATGCCATAGAGTTAGTACAATAAACGCTAGAGACTCAGCTGGTGCTAGTCTCTAAGGGACTTCAGGTTGCAAATTGAAGCAGACAGCATGCACTTTACTTTTCCAGTCCGGCTGTGTATTCCTATGGGAAAACGCGCGTGAATTTTGTCTCGTCGCCAGAAAATAACATCAATAACTTTTATTATTTCGGTTGTACCGAATAGTATGTACCTTTATTAATATTGTGAAAGTTAATTGATTTAGTTACAGAATTTTTCTTTTACCACTGAACGATGCTAAACTTCGCCATATTTCAGGCCCAAACCTCGGTTCCATGGCAGGTATGAAAAAACGAGCGACCATTCTGAGCCAAATAACAATCGAAAGGAATCTAGAGTGTGTTCAAAGTTCGCCAGCATTCCTTGGTGCTTATATATTGCTAACATGCCTGTTCTCTGACTATGTGAGAATGACCCCGTCGTGCATCTTTACGAGTGGTTCAGAAACCTTCGAAACGTAAAGAATAAAGTACGTGTTGAACGAAAGGTGTGTTTTCTTATTATTTCTTATGTTAAGCAGTTTTTATCGCGCACCTGTTCTTTGGCTTCCCCCTATTTGCAAAGATTTGGAGCGTGCGGGTGATGATTTGAACAGAGGACAACCATCTTCGCACATATTCATGAGCAGAAAGAATAAAGCAGTGCTTATTTATTGCAAATCGGACTATATTACGTGTCTTTCAATTTATTTTGAGCGTCTGCAAGCAAAAGGAATTACTTATCCAGTGTCACTGCATAGTTCTTGCCGTCTCTCTTGGTTTTCCACATGTCCTTCGTTCGTTTGGCGCGTATATCCCCCATGCTGGAAAGCGTCGACGCCGTGTTCGCGCTAACAGTGTCCGACAGTGCACGTAAATAGTAAATACACGTACGAAGCGGTTTTAACACCGTTTTTCATGCTGCGAATTTCAAACAAAAATGCTGTAACTGACCAATTATTTCGTCTTCGTGACTGAAAAGTGTTGCAATGTGCCTAGAACGCACAAATTATTCGTGGTATTTGCTCTTATAATCGAGCAAAGAAAAAGAATGCACTCGCTTTTTCCCATAGAATCGCATTACCGGAAGTTAATTTCTGACTGCTTGCTGTCCGCTTCAAAATGCAATAGCACACTAGCGCCAGCTGAGCCTCTAGCGTTTATTGTAATAACTCTATGGGGGATGCAGGCTCGAATTTGCCCAACCGCTGGGTTACTTGTGTCTGAGCGGCTCAGCTCCCGAAGAGCTTCTCTTGCATCGAAGTTGAGGTCAGTCTTCGTCACGCGGATCTTCCGACCTTCCCTGTCATGATAGAGACCTGACAATTTTTAGCTTAGTTGGTGCGCCAAGCTTCGGCACGCAACCAATTCTGATAGCTAGCAGGCACAACATTTTAAATATTGAGTATTCTCGATAATAATGCTTAAATGAATGTTTTCTTTTATCATGTCCTTTAGAACCATAATGCTGACAACTATGCCTGGAGAAGGTTACACCGTCAACAATCGGATAAAGGCGGTTCCTGAAGGCGGTAAGTGGTGGTAGGGAGATGGTTACCAACCACACAAGTGAAAGCTCTAATTCCTTGTAATCCCCACTGGGCCTGATATTCGCGCACTAAAATATTTAACCCCTCTTCAACTTGATGATTTTTTTTGGTCTCATATGATGTTTTATATGAAGTTGAAGTTTTATATGAAGTCTTAGATGAAGTTTAATATGAAGCTGGGTTCCGTCCGAGCAATATCATCATCCAATTCATTAAGTCAGAACCGCGTTCGCTGGACGACGATTATTTGTAAATCCGTGCTGTACCTGTGTTGCATCAGTGTAAACTGCATTATAATAGACAGTTTAAGACTATCAATTCCAAAAGCTACGCGTGATCATAGAAATAGCGTCGGCACCATGTCTCAATCTAAAGCGCAATTTTGGTTCGGCGCGAGCAGTGTGGCGACGATAGTATTTGTTTTCGGTACGCAAATCTTCCCGGTACGTTATTGTAAACGTTCCTAATACTTTTATTGGGAGTGCGGGACAGATAAAGGGGGCGCGCCGATCGGCCTTGGCTGCAATGCACAAACGAAAACATCCGCGCAACATCTTTTCCGCTCAGACCAAGGCTAGCTCAGGCCTTGATCCGCAGCGTCGTGGCCGAGTTCGCGCCTTGTTTCGCAATCTCGATCAAGAGTAAAGATTCGGCACCTTGGCATAAGAACCTTTATTCATGTCCAACGTTGCTCCATATCGGTCCTCATGTCACTAGACCCCAAAAAGTTGCTCAGAGCTCCAATTTAATCGTGTACCCCGCAATTGAAACCCGGCAACGACGGAAAGACACCACCGTGTTTTTCGTTGATCTGCGCCAGACCGTGAGTCTACATAGAATTTATGTGTTTGACGGTCCAAAAATCATTGAGGGTTGGCATTCACCAGTGCATGCCCCTAAATGGTAAAAGCTACACGAGAAGAATTTTTCGCTTCACTTAGATTATATAGCTCATATCTCGCTGGCGCGGATCGACGGACTGGGACTGGGATGGTCGCGGCTGTTTTTATCAGCGCATGGAGCAGATGTGTTCTCAATAGACCGTAGGCGAAATTCACAGCGCTATCTAGTGGTTTGCCCATGGACATGCTCCGTCTCACCATTTGGCTTCCGCGCTGAAAAGGCCAGGGCGCGAAAGCGTAGTTCTGAGGCCAGATTCACGTAGAGCTTCTTAGTTTACAACAACTTAGCTAAGAAGTTCGTAAGTTAAGAACATCGTAAGAAGAGGAGAAATCGGTGTTCACGAACGCGTTCTTAAGTGAGAGGAGGAAAGCGACGTTCTCGTACGGAAGAACTAAAACTTACAGGTGCTGTTGCTACGGCGACGGCGACTTCGGCAGCACGAACAACCAATCGGAGAGCTCGGCACGGTTCGGAGCCGTTCGGTGGACGTAGCCTTATTCACAACGCTTCTCTCTCTCTCTCTCTCTCTCTCTCGTGGATTTTTAATAACAAACACAAACGGCATTTCTGCCACCGCTTGTCTGAGGTTCGTGTCCGTGCATTTATATGTCGACGCTAACACGATTTGAACACGGCCGAATGCCGAGGCCGGGATGCGTAACCGCCTCAGTTGACTGCTACGAATTTGATCGCTACGAAGTCAACAGAACTGTCATCGTTGGTAAAAGGTGGCCCGAGTAAGGTCGTTTGCAAAGCGACGTAAATGGAAACAAAATGCCGTGGCGTTTTTCGCGGCCTCGGAGATGCAGGAGTGAGCCGACATTAAAAAAAGATACGTTTGAACTACGAGAGTGTCCAGCAAGAGCCACCTAATACCTGTTCACACTCGGAGCGGACACGCGCGTTTGTTCGAAATGGATTCGCGCTGTTGGACCGCGAATTGGTAAGCGCTTTGGGGCCAATCCTTTACGATTGCAACTCGATGCTGGCGTGACACCCGGCAAAGAAAGGTTGGACCGGCATTGCGACCCACGAACTGTTATAGCGATCGACAGTGAGGTGCAGTCGTGTCAGAATAAAAATGGAATACTAATAACAAAGTGTACATACCGTGTTGCGAAGGAAATCCATACGGCGTTTATTTGAGCTCTATATCACAAAAAAAAAACAAGATAGAATCGACGAGAGCCCCTTTTCGACGACAGCGTTCGTCACCGCTGAATCGGAAAACAAGGAGATGACAAGAGGGAGAGATTGACCTCTTAATCTAATATTGAGGTCAGCGATCAAACTATAATACGGGAAGGGTCCACAAGGGTCGCGCGGGCATATTCAATTCGGCACGCCAGCCGGTCGTGGGCAGACGGTTTTGGCCAAGGGCCGTCGGAGCACCCCTGCGCCGAGTCTGAGTGCCTGCTAGGCCTATATGCCCAGCTCGCTTGGCCGGGGTTGGTGGAATCGTGGCCGTTGTAGCTTTTCCCGGGTGTTTGTGGACCCAGCGGCCTTGTTCGTCGCAGTCTGTTTCAAGTACTTCTTACTTTTTTCGTGCTGTTTGGAGTTGGGACGCGTGAGAAGCGCACGTAAAAAAAATGAAAGCCGTTTACAACTCCCTGTAACGCCGAATTTGAGCGCAGCTCTTGAGGAGAAGGAGGGAAGGGTACTGGGGGGATCAGATGGCCTCGGAAGGGGGGGGGGGGGTCACGTGACCTCGGGGGTCACGTGACCTGGGAGATCACGTGACCTCGGGAAAGAGGTCACGTGACGATGACGTCATCAGTGATGATGACGATGACGACGCGTATGCCGATTACGTCATTAATATCCGCATCGCCATCGTCATTATGACTGATGACGTCATCAGTGACGTCACTGATGACGTCATCGGCATCGTCATCGTCATCGGGAGGAACTCGGAAGGACCTCGGGTTCCTTCGGGAGGGCCTCGGGAGGACCTCGGGCTCCTTCGAGAGGACCTCGGGAGGACCTCGGGTTCCTTCGGGAGGACCTAGGGGGGGTCACGTGACGATGACGTCATCCGTGATGATGACGATGACAATGCGGATGCCGATGACGTCATCAGTGACGTCACTGATGACGTCATCAGTGACGATGACGATGGCGATGCGGATGCCAATGACTTCATTGATATCCGCATCGTCATCGTCATCATCACTGATGACGTCATCGCCACGTGACCCCCCAGGACCTCGGGTACCTTCGGGAGGACCTCGGAAGCACCTCGGGTTTCTTCGGGAGGACCTCGGAAGGACCTCGGGTTCCTTCGGGAGGACTTCGGAAGGACCTCGGGTTCCTTCGGGAGGACCTCGGGAGGACCTCGGGTTCTTTCGGGAGGACCTAAGGGGGGGGGGGTCACGTGACGATGACGTCATCAGTGATGATGACGATGACGATGCGGTTGCCGATGAAGTCATTGGCATCCGCTCGCACATGCGCTCGCGCGGAGAAAGTGCTTTCAAAAACCAGGCGCCCGCGCCCACGCCTGTGCCGGTATCAAGGCCGAATTTCGAGCCGAAGTGTACGTCCGCCATGTTTGTTACAGTGGAAAACCAGTGACCGGAGGGGCGAGGAGCCCGCACATGCGCAAGGAATAGCGTAAAACCATACCAACCCTTAGCTCGCAGGTATACTTGAGGATCGATGACGGTGAGCAGACCTAGATTGTTACCGACGACGCTACGAACTTGACAAACAGCCGAGGAATCTCCACCCAACAAAAATGACAACGTACGGAGTTGCCAGATGTTCGAACAATTTCGTATATTGAGCCTTTCCGGGTTTTGTTTAAAAAAAAGATAGCTCTGACTGTGGCCTTGAGCATTTTGTACAGCGGTGTGCTCAGGCGAGCCGACATTGATTAGAAACAGATTGTCTGCTACATGCGATGTCTACGCGAAATGCGTTTAGGATCCTCGCCGTGACGTCACTGCCCTACCTACGCTTGCAATACGCCGCTGAAAAAGGGCAGCTCATTCATTGTAATCCAACTACTAACTAGGATGTTTAACATGAAGCACACATTAGTGGGGATACCTCTGATGTTACAGCGTATAAGAGGAGACACATGTTTGTACAGACACGGAAAAAGGGAACACTCCGGCAGGTCTAACGACTCGACTTTTTCTTCTAGTTCCTCGTCGTCGTTTACTCTTTTTTTCCGACGCGATAAAAGAAGCAGTTCAACTCTCTGCTACTGTCTTCTTGAGCTTCCGGCTAAGTAATGCAAATCTTTCTCGGGCAAAGTTAGAGACGGGCTGTTAACGCGCTGGTCGTTTAGCTAATTTATATTTTCGGCTTCGATAACGCTCCTAGTAACCTTTTTGCTATTCCTGCCTAGCAAGGTGCAGTTGGTTGGATGTGCCATGCACCCGCAATCCTGGCAGTGAATTCCTAGGTGTCCCAAATTGGCTTTGCCAATAATGTTGTTTTCTAGCTCGGTCATTGATAAACCTTACATTCTTCTCTATGTAGTGTCTTCCATAAACAGGGGAAAACCGTAAACCATTCCTGCCTCGCAGGAAACAAACCGAGTATGGCGTTTTTCAGTACAGATTACTAATATATCAGATGTTGTATTAACTTTTTTTACATAAGGTGGAGGGCTTATTGGGAGCGGAAAAAAACAACATTAATATTGACTCGGCTTGCTGTTTTTGTTTTTTTACCGTGTAAGAAATTGTGGATATAAGGCGCAATCATCTGTCTTCCTGTCCTACCTCTGTGTTTTCTCTTATAAATTTAACCCTTTTTGACCTCTTTGAGGAAGGTTTCAGCTACCGACGTTAAAAATGAAGGTGTAGAGACTCAATTTCATATATATTACAATTTAATCGTGGAGACGGCAGTGAGCGTTGTAGTCGTTCTAAAGGCGTGTTCACACATAAAGCGGAGCGCTGAGTTAGCGCTACGTGAGCGCTCCTTGGCGCTTCCAGCGCGTGACTTCGTTCCAATATAGCGCGTGATTAGCGCTTTAGTAGCGCATTGTTAGCGCTCCAGTAGCGCCTTGTTAGCGCTTCAGTAGCGCCGTGTTAGCGCTTCATTAGCGCTTCTTGAACCGCGGT